TGACAGCAGAATGCGCGGAGTTAAGTACCGACAGGTCTATAACTCAATAACTTTTCCTCATTATGTGACCTGTTAACTCCATTTTAACACGACTAGCATTAAAAACGTTTTTGAATGTATAAATAGGTCCCTATATGTTCTTATGAGAAGCCCAGCTTACGAACCCTTTGGTCGATATCGAATAGCCGGCCGTCCGTCGATCTGCAGCGTAACGTTGGGCTTCATTTCGGTGAATTCTGAAAACAGCAAGCAGCTCTGGATGGCATCTCCCTGAAATGACCTCACTGGGATACTTACCGGATCGTGTGCTTTCTTCCGTCGTTGACCTTTTGGACAAAATGTCCGAAATGGTGCTCCCGACTGCCGAGATTGTACTTCACTTGCAGAAATCCTTCGTCCTAATAATCAGACCACCATAATGAAGTACTCAAGCAGTAACGTTGCAAAAAAGCAAACTTACCAGGTACACTGTAAAGTAATCCTGATCCACAGCACAGTCTACTGACAGCAGTACCCCAGACGGGCGAGTGGTACGGAAGGCGAATAGCATATAGTCTCGCGAAGTAGACGGACGGTCATTCAGCGGATATTCGAAGAATAGCGTCGACGGAGCCGAGAACGAGGCTGTCGTGGCAGCTGAAACAATAATTGGCCGGTCGAGTTCCCATAAAAACCCTCTAATAGTCTCGGACCAATCATGTAAACATGCATGAGTTTCCAAAATCACACTGAGCAATTGCCAAGTTATGGGTAAAGCAGGAGACCCAGGCTGGGTTTCAAAATGAAGGCTATAAAAATGTGTTTGGCTGCTCTAGGAGACCTTTGTTTTGCTTTTTAGAAGTTTACAGCCTTCAAGTATGAGGGGATATTCCTTATAAATGCGAACTAGGACTAGGACAAGGAAACTAGGAGAATTTCCACCTGGGCCTTCGCATTGCTCCTCTCACAAAGAGTCCGGCGTCCTGTTCAGCCTGACCCCGATAATTGAGTGAGCTTCTTTCAAATGATACCACTCCTTCTCTTCCTTGCGTTCTTCGCCTGCTCTGGGCCTATCAATCCAATGCTCTTCTTACCACATGCCCTAGCCTTAGCATATGAAAATAGCATCGCAATCTCAGCTTCAGTTCAGTGACGGCTTTTCTGAGAGAATCGCTCATGGAAAACCCTCTGCATCCCTCGGTCCTGCTTTCTCGACTAGCGCAATTCTTATTGATCCGACAGCAATCACATTTGTAGGAAGCATCGATTCGATTACAGCACTGCCCACATCGTTTCAGTTTAGCATCATCCAATTAAGAAAGACGCGTTTTGGGAAATTAGGACATTTCTATAGAATTTTTAGGAGCGCTTCTCAGAAAGGGAGGAACAAGGTCAATTCCCATTCGAGCGCTTTCACTTTGTTCCGAGGCAGTAGAAAAGAATAAAAGATAGTGATCAACCTTTTTGGAGATGCGCAACGGACTCTACTTCCATTCTAGATAATGGTGGCATTTTGAATGAAATCAACAATCCTTACGGGGGCCAGCCGATGTACAAGTCAGTGTTTTTATCCTCCCAGACAAGTTTGGTACCAATTGACCGACTCCGGAGGGATGGAAGGCTTGGTTGGCCCGGGCGACGAACGCTCCAGGATTTGATCCCGGCACACGGTTGATGGGATCGTATCTCGAACAAATGGACAAACTCTCACCTTTCTGAAGTGGGCTGTTGGCTTTATAATTGTAACAGGGGTAGAAATCAATAACGTCTACACGGTTTGAAGACGCTATTGACTTCTACCCCTGTTACAACGTCTGAAGACATTCCCAAGTACTTCCCCAAGTCCCCAAGTAACTGGCAAACTCCTTGGTTATACAATATTAATTTTTTCGAGGTAATTGGCTAACTACTTGGTTCTACAATATTATTATATTAGGATATCAACTCCGTATCCATGACCGAATGCTAGGAATAGAGTGGGGTTTACCAGGCCGCATCCCGATTCAGTCCAGGGATGGTCATGGCTCATTAGAGAATTCAGAAGTCCATATCCAGTCATCAAAAGCGCTGAGGCCTGGACAGAGCAACCCAAGTTCGCACAAGTTCATGAAATCAGAAATACCTTGGAATCCTGCTCATACATCTCAATAAACCGTACTTGTAGAGTGTTTTATATTATGAACTTTTTCAAAATGGTTCAGAGACAAAGCACTTACGTTCCTGACATCGGTCACCAGCATGCGCTGTCAACGTGCAGTCACATCGGATGGAATTCCACTGCTGAATACAGCGACCGTGATTCGAACAAGCAGCTGGTGAACATCGGGCAAGCGGTCCTGAAAGAAACCCTCAGCCTTTGAAAGAGTGGTGGATGGAGGAGGTGGGTACAAACCTGCACAGCCTTTCACGACATCTTTCTTGAGGTCGCAGTCTTCGATCACATCTATTAAGCGCTCGTTGATCCGAAGTGCAGCCAGGCAGCCACGAAACCCACCTCGAACCAAAGGTGCTGACATTGGTGCTCCACCTGGACACAATCGTCTTCAGATAGGAAAAAGGTGTGAAGCTGACCCAACTCGTGTACAATGCAGTTATTTGCCTAAGTTATAAATGCGAAGGTAGTTCAAGAACAAAAAAACAAAAGCAGTCTTCAAAAATTGGTATTTACATTTCCTTTTCGAGCGTTGCAGTGAGAAAATTGGCGCTGTGAAGAGGTGACAGACGAGTGAGCATAAAGGGTCCAGTAATCTGTTGTAGCATAAGTTGGGTCAAGATGAAGCGAAGCTCTAAGGTGAGATTGGTAGCTTAACCAGGGTTGACCGTCCGCTCGCAATGCTCGAAAGAGGGGGGGGGTCGTATATGCAATTCTTGGGAAGGGATGAGTCGCATTTTGGGGAGTTAACTACCTCTGGGAGTGTGTGAAGGAGGCATGTACAAAGGGGCTATATTTGGCGGGTATTTTTGACGAGTTTGGCGAAATTTTCATGAAAATATGGTAATGTAGACAGGATTAGAGGACCTGTTGCTTTAGGATGCCAATTTACCCCTCTCTGCCCCCCCCCCCCCCACCACCACCGCCCCTCTCACCCCTCCGCCCACATCTCGCTCGACGCAGCGGCTGTTTCTATAACAAGTAGGATGCGGCGCCCTAGCCGCTATACCATCGGGTGGCTCAGAAAAGGGCGAATTCAAACGGAACTCGGAACTAACCTAGCGTTCACTAATTCAATGACGAGCGAGGTGTCTTTGTCGGCAGAATATGAGGCAAACAATAAGGCATTACCAATGAGAGTTTGAAATTTGAAAGACACTCGAAATGAACCCGTAAGTGACGAGGCCTAAAAATAGCAGCTATCAGTGCAAATTCATAATAACTCCTCAAATATCGACATTTTTTTGCTCTATCAGGTCAAACTCACTATTCTATTTGACAGCACAGCATAACCAGTTGTGTTCAGGAACGACGCCGATGACGGTCGAGGTCTTGCTGAAGATAAAGGATAAAGCATTTGCCGTTGATCAATCCCTTTTTGGGATGCGGCACGCATTCTACTTCCATTTGTACATTCGTAGTGGCGTTTGAATGCGATGTGGCCTATACAATGACTTGCGGGGGCCAGCCGATGTACAAGTCAGTGTTTTTATCCTCCCATG